AACATATAGATTGTAATGCATAAAACGATCCATGTCCAGTGTAGATCCTCGTGTCCGTAATACGCATTGAATCTTGTAATGTTTGGTAACAACAGAGTTCAGAGCTGTGTGACGTCACACAGATAATGGTAATCACATTTGTATGACCTGGTTTCCCCGTTCTCTGGTTTTGTTATACGTAAATAAACTCACCGATACGCGACATGTTTCATATTGGTTTGACACGCGCAGACCGCTCATTAATCATTTGTACGTAATCCGGAAGGCTTTTCCATTTCACTGCAATTTTTATTCATCTGCGGCGTCGCTTTTTGATGGCAGAATCGCGTCACAGCGCTCACAGGCAGCGTCAATTCTGTCTGAACAAAATAACCTGCTGCTGGGTGGACAACATGCGTTCGATTCCCGACAGGAGGAAGATATTTTTCTCGTCTCTGCAGTGTCCAGACCGGTCCCGGGCGTGAAGCTGACCGTTCATCCCCATCTTGTGTCGAGGTTAAGAATTCGTGGAGCCCCTCCTTCACTCGTCCATACGTCTTCGTTGTGCGGGGCTTAGTCATGGGGACAAGTTTTACAGGTTAAACCACAGCAAGTAAAGAAAGTAATATGAGTACGTGAGTGACTGCAAGTAAGTTATTAGTCTCGCGTAAAGTAACGGCGTTACTTCTTCCCGTGGGCAGCGGGCTGCTTCACACTCCGGAGGCCCGGAGTTCGAGTCTTGGTCCAGGGTTAGCAGAGCCTGACTTACGTTTTCAGTGACTTTCCTCAAGTCCGTCCTGGCAATTTCGGGATCGCAGATTAAATCAGGCGATGACCACTTCCTGACACCTCATTTATAATTCACGGTTCGCTTTATCTTCTTGCCATTCGGCGCCCCGGGTTATGAAGTATTCAGAATGTTGAAAAACAAAAAAATAAGTCGGTATATAACTAATGAGTAAATGTGCGCAAAAGAAAATAGATTAATAACGAGTAATTCATCAAAGAAAATTGAGGTAACATGCACCTCCGAAACGTCGGAAAATTGCCCTCAACCATACGCTTTAACTACCCAAGAACCGAACTAATATGAATACTTAAAATCAGTAATCTGTACATTAATTAATAAAGCCAACTTTGCGCATGCGCCGCTGATCCTAGTGATCGGTGTTGTGCTCGTCACAGGAAAAGTTCGGAGACTTGTGTATACACAACGTGAATGCAAAGTCCTATTAACCATACATGCGAAAGTGTTTCATTTGGGGGGGGGGAGATGAACGATAAGTTGGGGCACCCTGTGATTCCTCATCTCTATTCTCCCCACGGCGCCTCTGATGAGTTTGACACTTCGTGCTGCCTTCAGTACTTTGTGTAGTGGGGGTGGCATTGATTAGGGTAATTAGCTCAAGGATTGCCCCTGGGGAGAGACCCTCGATTTTAAACCGCCGCGCGGGCTCCTCCATAAATTGGTTATGCCGCAAATAAAGGGCGCCCCAAAACACTTGAGCCTATCAGAACTTGCATGTCTTCACAGTAGAACAGTTTTAGTACAGTGCGCTTCAAGAAAAACGCATCTCTTGCTTTTCCATTATTTTCCTCCCTGTTTCTTATTCTCCTATATTTCTTTCCCTTTCTCTTGTGTATCTTCTCGTCTGCATGTTTTAATCTTTTTCTTCATTTTCCTTTTCATACTAGTAACTATCGAGCGTTAACACGTTTCGTGAACGTAACTTACGTAATAGGTCACGAACTAGCTAGCAGTCTTTTGTGCTTGTAATTGCGTCTGTTCTGTGAATATTGATGATATTCTTATGTGAATGTATGAAGAATGGTACTCAATATAAACGTGGCCATTTGTGAGTGGCATTCGTGGGAGATGGCGTTAAATGTCGGCCTCGACGTAGCGTTCCAGAACATGTGGTGCTCGAAAGGACTACGGAGGGACGCAGGGAGTTGACAAGAACGAAAGCCCGTGTAACGATTGATGAGACTTGCCGCTGAATTCTCACGGGAATCCCCCCCCCACTCCCGACCTGCTTCACCCTCGCTGTCCGATTGGTGTGGCCTGCTTAGAATCCGCACCCCGCCACTGTCTGTCCTGACTGGCTGAGCAGCGTCCCACAGTTCTCGACTAATCTCACAACTCCAACCCAATTCCCCATTTTGGGCGGCTTGGAGCAAGAAGGACGCGTCTCCCAGGAGCTTGTCAGGTCGGTTCAGCACCTTTAGTTTACATTTTAGCTGGATTTGTGGTTATGGCTGTGACTGGAGAACTTCTGTGGGACTCGCGACCATATTTTACTATCTCAGATTTGAGACTTCCCTTTTCGTCGCTTCCTTTGACTCACAGGGTCACGGTGGAGGTATTCTATCCCTCCTCCACACGGGTACTCCTCTGTAGTGGCAGGATGTCCTAGTTATATAATCTCGGCACGGAACGCACAGAAAACACCACCTCTTCATTTACTCGTTGCCTGCCACAGAGCCGTTACCTAGCAGTGGCTGTGTCTGGGTCCTCAGTTCTTACTCTGAGCAAATATGCCACAATACGATCTTGTTACTCTAACGATGACGTAGTGGGCGGAGCGTACGAGTAGCTTTGCCTTGGCGTTTTCTGCCGACACGGAGCTCCAGTACTGCTGCAGCAGCTGAGCAAGCGGTTAGCAAGCAGTATTCAGCAGGCAGTACAGTCTACCCAAACGTCGAACCTCTACCGAACTACACGGCGTCACATACCACGAGATAATAGTCGTCATAGCAACCACTGTGGGAGCCTGAATGTTTGTGTACTTTCTATCCGCGTTGCCATGGTTTCGAAAGGGAAACCTGTGAAGTTATAATTTGAATTTTGTATTCTTTGTCATTTTGTTTCTCTGCCCTAACAAAATGGAAGCTTAGGGAAGCTCTGTGTCCCTGTAATTATGTTGTACAGGATTCCAGGTTATGAATCTTCAATTAACATCCCTCGGAATGTGCCGAGAAGGGGATGGGGGGTCGTTTATTAATTTAGCACGCGGTTCATGTCTCGGAAGGAAATGCAAATGAGAGGTTCCCCAGCGAACTCTGTCGTGAAGTACACGAACTGTCAGAAAGAGACTAGCAGATATGCCACTTTTATTATCACGGAGTGATCATTTTAAACACTTCCTTCTTTAGCTATTTAAGCACGATGTATTAACTGCAGAGGCTAGCTAAACATAGGGTAGCCAATCCACTGAATAGTTTAAGGGCTGGAAGACCGGGGAGACGGGGTTCATTTCCCTGCAGTGCTAAATATTTCTCCATACCGTACAGGGCGGCTCTGGGGTCCACCTGTCCTCCTTTACAAAGGACACAAGGTAAAGAAAGCGGCCATGGTGTAAAGCTGACCACTCGCCATCTAGTCCTGAATTCAGGAGCACGTGGAGCTGTACATCCACATCCCCTTACATCTTCATTGTATGGTGCTTAATTAAGTACATGGATATCCTTGTCGTTATTTGCTCCAAAAATTATGTGACGTCACGTGATATTTTGATGATTGTTACCCCCACGTGACGTGGAAAGGATGGGAGAAGTGGCCATTTTAAAAAAGCCAAGTGGTTTCACCCTTACGGTACAGCGCGGTCCAGTTACTTGCTCTTAAATCGTACCGTAGTTTCCTTTCCAGTATTGTTTTTATTGCTAGTGGGGTGGGACTGAGTCCCTTGTACTGCGGCCACTTCTGGCCTACTGTACCAGCCCCAGATTGTGGAGCAATTGGTGGAATGAAGATTGGCAGGGGAAACCGAAGTACTCGGAGAAAACCTGCCCCAGCGCCACTTTGTCCACCACAAATTCCACTTGACCAGACCCGGGATCGAACCCGGGCCGCCGCGGTGGGAAGCCAGCGACTAACCGCTTGAGCTATGGCGCGGCCTTTCCTTTCCAGTAAATATATTCTTATAAGTGGTAAGCAGGATTACCCGGTCTTCGGCCGGGATATGGTTTCCTTGTCATTGTCACAGTATGCAGTAACTGCAGCTTTGTAGAAGAAACAGCACTCACAGTTGAAAGAAGAACACGCGAACAAGAGATGACAACCACTCGAGTCTCGCATTGCGACTTTATGGTGTACTATTGCTGATACCGGAGACTTCCACAATTTTGGGGAGAGAGGATTCGGAACATACGATTATTAATGTGGCGGACGAGAGAGAAATGATGTTCATGTAAGTGCGTATAGTGGAAATCCTTTAAAATTACGACAAAGCGAACATTTAATTCTTTGGATTATAATATATAGTTATATCAGATGATTCTGTTGAGTCCACCTGTGAATGAAATATACCACTGTAATAGTATCCCTCCACTCGAACGAACCAACATACGTCATACTTAGCGTAGCCAACCTTACGGAACAAAAATTCTCTTTTTGTACTTTCGAATTTCTCATCGGCTGACGGATACCGGAAATATATCGAAAATACAATGTAGTAACTTTATAATGATGACGTAACGGTCCGCGTCATCAACTGATAATGACGCCCCATCGTCAGTAATGTCACATGTCAAGTGACTGTAGACGGGGTTAGGATTGGTAATAGGATTTATTTGGCTCTCATAGCACACAATTACAATTATTTATAGCGCTATCGTTAATTCACGCACTTTACGCTTCACTACAGCAAGCATTAATTCTTAATTTGCCGTGTCTTTACTGGTGGTCGCCTGGTGACGGCTCCCAAGGCCCTAGATTTCTCAACTTCCTTGTTCCACGGCCCTTATCCTCGCTGGCTAGCGCTGACTGAAGAGTATGCAGACTGCCTCTCTCAGAACTAACTCAAAGCCCCAATTGGCTCTCCTTACATAGCCTTTGCACGGACATCACAGAAGACACCGCTTCTCACAGTACCTTTGTTTTGGCGTTGCCTCTGTCGCCGCGGCAACTAACCGTTACGTGACTTTCACAGAGCCGTTCCCTAGGAACTGCCGTCTCTGCTGGTTCCACATGCCGCCACAGTACAGTAGAAGGAGTGTAATGACGTGTTTTGCCTTGGCAGGTGCAAGGAGCCGGGCCGCTACCTGGAGAAGCTTCCAGCCACGTCCGTCATCATCTGCTTCCACAACGAGGCATGGTCCGTGCTCCTGCGCACTGTCCACTCCGTGCTCGACCGCTCTCCGCCCCATCTGCTCAAGGAGATCATCCTCGTGGACGACTTCTCCGATATGGGTGAGTTGTACAGTCCGACCGCAGCGATTTGGTCGAGTCCACTGACGGGGATAGGGATGGGTCTTTTGAAAGTCAGCCGACGTTTTTAGAGGAACGTGTCACCTCCATCTTCGGGGTCGAACAAGCCGTGCAAGATACCAGCGTGAAGCAGGCAGCAAGCCCGAAATTTCTGATCATAGGAACTCATAGTTTTCGAGGAAACTAAAATCGGAAGTAGGATAATAATTTTACCCGCTCTTACGCAAGGATGTGAAACATGGTATCTTACCTGGAGAGTCATCTGTTAGCCACCTGCCTTCGCGCTGGTCTCTTGCTCGGCTTGTTAGACCCTTAAGATGGAGGCGATGTGTTCCTCCGAAACGTCAGTCGACTTTCTACGGACTGCGTGTAGTTACATCGCAGGGGTTCGTAACCACCGCGTGAGAACCTCAAATCCTAGGAGATATGATTTTAGGATGGGTACGGGTTATACCAGGCCCTTAGTTACAGTGCGTCACCGTACCTCAGTCTCAAATTAACTTCTCATCACACTCGGTCCTGTAGATATGCGTACTTCGTATGCGCATACAGTGTACTCGTATATATTCATGAATTGAGAGTCAGAGGGCTTGTAGAAGGTACAGTAAACCCCCCCCCCTAACTCGGATATCGGATAATCCGGATCGAAATATGAAAAGTAAAAAAATTCTCTTCACAGTTGAGTACATGCTTTAAAAGACACGTGCCATTTAGGAGCAAGGGGCCTCTGAGACTGTGTTGAGGGCAGCTGGAGAGACTGAAACCCAAGATTGGCTTCAGCTGGATGAAGGAGACCCTGGATTTCAGTTCTTGTCTTCTTACAGTTGTTAAATAAAGTCTACAGAAATATTTTCTATTTATTTTCATCGGTACTACGATACGCGTGTTATTAAAATTCCCATTTATTTGTTTTCTAAGTTTTTTCTTTTAGGGTTACATTTTGCTGTATTAAACCGGACCTCCCCCCTAGATTACGAGTAATCCAGATCGGCGACGGTTGTTATGTTGTGTCTGTAACGTAGACCCAGCGCGTGTGACGTAACAGACGTGCGTCGCGTCCTGTTACGCTGGGAACGCAATGTGGAATCTGAGACCCGCACAGAATATACGCGCTGTAGTAGCCAACACGTGACATTGACTGTTCATGCGGTGGGTCTGTTGTGTCGCGCGGGGACCGAATGATCTCATGTATAATTTGCAGAATTTTGAGGGAACTGAACATCATTTAGTGAAGAACAGGCACAACACCCGTTGGGAATTCAATGGAAAGTCTCACCATTTGTCCCTTTGGTACGATTGACTTCACATATCAATATAAAGTATTTTACATTCTCACATAATAGACACGATACACTGATACCTCGAAAATTCGTTGATATGAAGACAGGAAATCTTGTAATGACCATAATAAGTCTCGCGCTTATAGAAATTATAGTGTTATATTTCAAATACTTGAGAATGTTACCGTGTTCCAGGAGCCAATCAAAAACGCTCGTGAAGCTTCGAACTGATTCGTCTCCTCTTAAGAGCAACGATTTTAATTTCCGTTGGCATTTCTGAAGCTACGTAGATCCTTCAAGTCGCGCGGACTGAGACATGAACTGTTTTCGTTCGCTCGGACGCTGGGATCCTGGGTTCGAATCCCACACACCGCATGGATGTTTGGTGTGTGTTTGCGTTCGTTCTGTTTGTGCTGTCCTGTGCTTAGGTAGAGGCCTTGGGACGGGCTGATCACTCGCCCAAGGAGTCCTACCGTCTGTGAAATGATTACGGAACTGAATAAGAGGCCTGGGCCCTGAATGGGCTGGAAGAGCCATTGAAAAAATATTCTTCGAATTGTGTGAAGGTAAAGGTAAAGCTGTCCCTGTGCTTAATTAAGCACCACGCCATGAAGACATGAGGGGTGGTGGTATAGTTCCACCTTCCTTGACCTTGGCACCAGATGGAGGGGGAGGTACCGATTGGATATTAGGCTGGGTGGGCCACAGAGCCAGTTTGAACGCTACTGAGAAAATTCTGTTGCCCCTGGCGGGAATCGAATCCCGGCCTTTCACGCCCGTCGCTGTACCGACTGAATGTTTCAAGTCTTGTTCAGGATTGGCCAGAAGTATCGGAGTAGCCGCAGATCATTAGAGTTCCAGCTGAGTGAGGGGTGTCCATGTCTGGCCTCAGTTATTTCTTGCGAAAACTAAAATGGGTGAGATTCTAGAGGAGGGGGGACCGAGCAGATGGGCTTAGCAGTAACGCTCTAGATCCATATTATGCGGTCCTGGGTTCGATTTCTGGTCGAGACACCAACTTTCTTGGCTAAGATTTTCCGTGTTCTTTCTGAGTCCCTCCAAGCAAATTCCTGGATACGACCTCGGTTAGTCCACTAACTCTTCCTTTCATATCCTTTCCCCATTCCTAATTTGTCAGGTACCCTGTTATGTACTGGCAGTGCCGTGCAACAACCCACAGAAACAGGGATTGTAGGGACGTAAGGTTAAGAATGCATGGAACTATACCGCCACTCCCCTATGCATATTCCTAGCGTTATCCTTAACAAAGCGCTGCGGCAACTGTAGTTTTGAAATTAAAAAAAAGTCATCACGTACCATCAGGGGGTATGAGAGCCCCGTTTTGATTCCCAAGGCACTAATACGTAATCCCGTTTTTAAAATTCCACACCGCCTGCCGAGATCTACACTGTTTTGTTATTCTAAATTTAAAATCCTGAGACAAGCACGTGACCTGCCCACTCGTCGTCATGGCAACGCCTCGTTGTGTGCAGCTTTCCTTGATTTGCAGTCACGTGCTCTTAATTAAGGAGGGATTATATTGAAACGAGTGGCGGTTGACGCGTCTTTTTTGTTTTCCTTCTTCTGTTTGTTTCCGCTAGAGACCACTGATGTCGCTCTCATTTTCCCATGCATATATATAGGTATGCCAGGGGAGAGAAATATTTGGACAGCGCTGCATCAACTGCGGGTTCCATGCAATATTGAAAGTCCTTGCTATTCTTGTTCGTTTCAGGGTTCTGTAATAGAAACGTTAAGGTTCATCACCTCTGAAACAAAATCGTGTCATTGAATATTGTTTTCAGGTAGTTCATTGTAGTTTACATTATCAAGAAACTTGTTCCTCTTTACTATGGTTCTCAAGTCTCGTTCAGGGCGTTTCAAGTTATAGTTTTCCAGCAGATGTCTCCCAGCAAACCTTGCATTTTCCGTATGTCACCTATCCGCGCTGTATGACCAAAGTGTCCTTGTCAAGTGAAAAACAAATATCGAGCAGGTTAGTGTAGCGGTAATAGTCTGGGCATTGCCTTCGAATTTCAGCTCAAGAGACACCGCCCTGACCGAGATGTTGCGTGGTTTTCGTCAGTAACTCCAGACATACATGGATAATTATTTTTTTATTTAAATCTCTTTTTTTATGTTTCCATTATTAGTACCTTAGCCTGAATATGATTCTGAAGTGGGCCACGAACGTGGGCCCTTCACTTTCCAATTCGTTGTTCACCAATCAGCCTACAATTCGACGGTGTCATCTGAGGCGCTACGGCGTCGCTAAGTAAGCTGTGAGCAAACGAGTGCTGTAGGCCACGGGAGGACGTCCAGTGGTGACACCTGTCGGCGCTCCTAGAACTTGTCCTGGGCGGAGGAGGATGCGCAGATCATTTGCGCACAGATTTTAATCCGTTTAAGAGTATTTTTGCTGATCGCCCTAGAGAATGCGAGACAGAGAACGCTTCTTTAAATGCGTTCAGTTTTTGGTTTATTTCCCCCATTTTTCGATCAAATTGGTCTTAATGCAGACTGTGACGTGTANATAAGAGCAGGCAGAAAGGGGAGAAGTCTCGAACTGCGTCACCTTACGATCCCTTAGCCTTCTTTCTGTGGCCTCAGTCCAGAGTCCTCTGCGTCTGGGTGCAGTCATGAGTACATGGAGACAGTTCTGATTAGGCCAAATCGTTGCATTGCTTTGTTGAATTTGAGACTGATATAGCTGTGACTGTGAACGGTACTGTCTCCTGGGATGTGACGCCGTGTAGTCCGATCGTTGTTCGCGACATTTCGTTTGAACATTCTGCCTCCATCTTCAGTGTCAGAGACTAAACTAAGTAAGGTACAAGAAGAGCTAGCTTTATTCCTTTGCTTGGTTAACACTGAAAATAGAGGCAACGCATTCACCCGAAACGTCCGTAAGCATGGACAGGACTGCACGTCTTCACACCCAGAAGGTTGCAATTTTCATTTCTTTACCGCGTCAACATTCTTGTTGCTTTGTGGAAGTGGACGAACGTGTCCCTGTTCCTTTTGACTGCGACTGTACCAGTTTCAGGTGTCGCAGTTTGTGATTTGTTTCTGACCTCACTCGAGTTGATACGTTGTGACGATAGTGTCCCTGGGGGCGTAGGGTCATTACATGTGACACATGGCGCTAATCTGCCATCTCAATTTGTCGCTTGCGTATAAAAGCGGTCGGAGCTTGCAGGGCGTGTTTCGTGTTTAGTGAGCATTATCAAGTGCAGATCTCGATCTTAATAACAAGGGAACAAGTGTGCCGCGTGTTCTCGTGCCATCCTCTGAAAAACAGTGTTAACCGTCGCACCGCGTGTTTAAATATTTAATGTACCCTGCATTCTACCCACAGAGTGTATCTGTGTGTTCCATATGGTTCTCACAGTAAACAGCGACTGTTTCCATAAACAGCATTAACCGGTTGGGCTTTGTAGTGGTGACGTAATGTGTTTCCTGTGAGGTACGGACTGAACACACTAAAACTCTGTATTCTGCCAACAGAGTGTATCTGTGTGTTCCGTACGGTTCTCACAGTAAACAGCGACTGTTTCCCTAAACAGCGTTAACCGGCTGGGCTTTGTAGTGGTGATACAGATTTTATGAGGTAGGAACTTAATTGTTAAGTGTTATGGGCGTGAACACGGGACTTCAAAGGGCGGTTTCCGCAGATGACCCGTCCTTTAATCCACTCTTAGC